GGTTGTGCCAGTGTCCCGCCTTCTGCCGATGCTGGCAGGAGGTGGAGGAGCAGGACTGTGCCATGGGCAGCGCGTGGCAAGGCTGTGCTGGGGAAGGGGCCCTGGGTGCTTTAAGCAGATCAGTTGTGCTGTTAAAACATTTTATTAAGTGTTTTCTGTCTTGGGAGGGTTTGGATTACCCCAGGAGCTTCTGTTGCTCAAACAGCTCGTCCTCCTCCACCAAAGCTCCCTGGGAGCAGCCTGCCTCCTGCTGAAGGCATTTCTGCTCTGCTGGCTGTCCTGCCTCTGGCCCCAAATGGCCAGAGCTTTCCTTTTCTCCCTCTTCAGAAAAAAAAAAAAACAACTAACGCCAAAATATGCTGAGGCTCTTGTCTCACAGCGCGGGACGGGAGGGAGGCTGGGTGGGGAGTGCCAGAGCTTTCTGCCGCTGGCTTGAAGGCATCTTCAGCTTGCGGCTCCCCGGTGAGAGCCATATTAATCGTCCCAAACCCCTTTTACTTTAGCGCTGGGTTGGCTGTACTGTTGTGGACTGAGGCACTAAATAACATGCTGAAGCTCTCGGCGTAGGGGTCTCCCTAGCACCCAGGAGGTGCCACTTTTCATACCTGCACCTGCTGGCTCTCACCCTGCAAGGCAATAGTAAAGTAATTTAAGATCACAGTAAAGAGAGCAACTATGGGCTTTGGGTAATCGCCTCTTTACGTTGCTTTATTTATCTATAAATAAAGCAATGCTGATGTGCCTCGCTGCCCACACTCCCTCCTGTCACAGCCTCTATAAGTCTGTCCCAGGGATGATGGATGCTGGAGGAGCTACATGCTGGGCAACCCACGGATGCTGGAGGGCTATATGCTTCCCGTGGGGTGGGACAGCGTGTGCTCGTTCCTCCTGTGGCCCTTACAGTCTTGGACACGGAGGGGACCAGCTTGCGCGTGGGATGTTGGACGGACGCTGTACCAGCCGGGGTAGCCACCGGCTCTGGGCAGTCGGCGCTGGGTCTCACCGTGCTCGCTGTCTGCCTTGGCAGGTGTACGAGAGCGGCAGCAACGTGGACCAGTTTGTGACCCGCTTCCTGCTGAAGGAGACGGCGAACCAGACCCAGTCGCTGCTGAGCTCTGTGGAGAGTGCTGTGGACGCCATCGACGAGCAAACCAACCCCGCCAGGTCTGCGGCACCTCCTGCCCTCCTCTCCGCTTCCCAGTTGGTTTCGGTGCAGGGGGGTGGAGGGAGAGGAGGAGGATGCTTTTGTGGGGCGAGGGAAAATGCAGCAGACGGTGTGCAGGAGCAAAGGGGAGGCGGGTGAGCGGGTGCCTTTCTCTTTGCCTCCCTTCCTGGCTTCCTGAGAGCTCTCAGGGCTTTCCTCTGCCGCTCTGTCCTGCCCCGTCCCTTACCCTCCCGCAGCCCTAAGGGTCCCTCTTGACCCCTTCACCCACGAGCGGTGCAGGGGGGGGGATGCAAACAAGGGGGCAGCACCCTGGGGCCGGGCTGGGCAGCGCTGGGTGCACGGGGTTGCTTCTCCGAGCAAAGCCACCTGTCCCATCCAGGGCAAAACACAGGCACCAGCAGCAGGGTGGCTGTGTCTGGGGTGTGCTGGGGACAGCCTGCAGCGGGCGGCTTCCCATGCCGGGGATGCTGTCCCTCCTGCCAGGGCACCCAGCGGGTGAAATCATCCACAGAGGCGAAAGGTGCTTGTGCACTGGGGACAGGTACCGCCGTCCTCAGGTCCCGTGTGAGGGGACCGTCCCCATCCCAGCAGCCTGGCACGTGCTACTGAGCTTGGAGAACACAGAGGGGAAAATTTCAAGGTTTCAGAAGTGCTGCCTGGGCTAAAATATAAAGGATACCTAGCAGCATAGCCCAAACCTCAGCACAGCCCCCCTTGGTGTCACAGTGTCACTCGCCTCCCTGGAGCACTGCTTTCACTGGCTGTAACTAGGACAGGTTGCCACGGAAACCGTTCATCAGATGCTCCTGAAGCGAATCCCTCTCCTGCCATACCTGCAAACCAGGAGGCCATGGGGTGCTCAGCGGGGTGCCTTGGCTTCCCTGAGCCGCAGGCGGGCAGAGGGGGCCAAGGCACACAGACCACAGAGGATGAAAATCCCAGCTCCCAGCTGGGACACCGCAGGGGCCGACGTGCCCAAATGCTTCACTGCAGCCAGGTCTTGGCGCTTTGGGTTTTAGCATCAGCAGCAGTTGCATCCTGGACAGGCGGCAGTGGGCCGGTCTCACAGGAGCTGTTGCTGCCTGGGACACAGTGAGGCCCTGGGCAGCTCTGGTGACATCTCACCAGCTTTCCTAGGAAGAATGCTCTGGGTTTCATCAACCCACATCGCTTTCTTCTCCCCATTTTGGAAGGAAACCGCTGGCCTGTGGCAAACCTTGTACAAAACGTACTTTTTCAGTAAGAGCTCCTGGGAAACAATGAGGAGGAAACAAGCCCAACATCAGACAAAGCAATTAGAGCCCATGAAAGAATTTGCTGCCTTTTAGTTGCCGATGTGTGGGCCCAGTTCATAATGAGGAATATTGTAGTTGTTTTCTCATGGTGATAATAGCCAAAAAAAACCCCAAACCCCACTACAAAAAATGATTTCATGCATCCACATGAAGACAAAGAGGTGGCCTAAAAAGCACCAGAATAAAGGGCTGTAAACTGAAGTGCAAGAGCAGAGCGTCCAAGCCTGAGGCACCTCATTAAATTGTGATTAAAAAGAAATGTCTGTCTGTTCTCGCCTAATTTCCTGCCGATTGATGAGGGATTATTCAGCGCCGGCAGTGGGATTATTGCACAGCCTGTAGCAACGGGGATGTTTCTGCCACCTTTATTGCTCTTCTTCTTTCCTTATCTTGGGGATAGTCTTGGGGACCAGATCCGCTCATCATGTTCCCGTGTGCATCTTCAAATCCACACTGGCTGATTTTGGGGGACAACAGCAGCCCGGACATTGCTCCCTTGGCACCAAAGGAGCCAGCCGAAATTGCCCAGGGTAGCTGGGGAGTGTAGAGAGGGCACCCGGCTGCTGTGCTTTGGAGGGAGCCGGGTGCCTGGGGAGGGACAGGAGGGCAGGGACGATTCTGGCCAGTGTTGGGCCCATCAGCTCCCCGGTGCTCAGCATGTTGTCTCCAGCCGGGAATCGCATGGCTGGCAAGAGATGCCAAGAGGAGCCAGGGCTCCAGGGGCAGCCGGGCATGGAGCTGCTCTCGCTGGAAGGAAACACTGGAAACCCCTTGAGCAGCTCAGCCTCTCCTTCTGCGACTCAGCCTTTCCATCGGTGGAGGAGGAAGGAAAGAGAGCGTCATCCTTCCCAAAATCCATCCCATCTCGCCTCAAATGGATGGCAGCTGCAAACCTTTGTGGGGATGGCATGTCTTAGCATCCTCTCTGGCTTGCAAATGAAGGAGGGCCTGGGGGACCACCAGCTGAGGTGATGTCTCAAGGGGTACATGCATGCATGAGCGTGTATGTGTGTGTGTATGCACACACACGCATGCACGCATGCACGCACATGCTCCTTTTCTCCAAAAGGTGTTGCAGGATGAGCCAGGCCAAATGGGCTTTGTAGCCCCAGAGGAAGAAGCAAGGTGAAGGAGTTGCTACGGTGGCTGTGTCTCCATTCTCCAGGAGAACCGCACCTGCAGCCTCTCGGTGGGATGCACGACCAGGCTGCCAGGCGGGCAGGCTTCCCCTGCTCACCGGCAGCAGTTCGGGCGTGTGACAGCAACTTTTCCCATGTGTTACTCACCAAAGCCATCCGACCGCAAAACCAGCCCCGCTAAGGTGCAGCCAGCCAGCTGGGCACAGCTACCGGCGCCCAAATGCCCAATGTTGTGGGTGTCTGCCTAGGGGAGAAAAAAATCCCCGAGGGCTGCAGGAGATGCCGGGAGGGTGCTGTGGTGTTTCATAAGCAGGAACGAAAAGTGTCGGCTGCTGGGAGCAGCCCACTGATGTTGCTCTAATTCTGACCCGCTCCCCATACCGGGTGATGCTGAAGGATGGTACGGGAGGGAAGCCTGCACTGCCTGGTCACGGTGCGGGCACTGCTGCTCTCCAAGGGGTCTGGCATCAGCGGCAGAGCTGCCAAAGAGGATGCTCCAACGCCAGCTCCCCGGGGCCAGCTCCTGCCATGCTGTACGTGCCCGGCTCTGCTCTGCCTGATGGCCTGTATGCTCTCTGGTTGCAGACACTACCCCAGCAAGGCTGGCCACGTTCTGATGGACAGCTGGTACGACAGCCCTGTGCCCAGCTACTCTCCCACCAGCCGGATGGTCCCCAGGGAGCACGGGAAGAGCTTCCAGACTGGTAAGCGATGGCCACTTTCAGACCGTACTGGCAGCCTGGGGTGGTTCGGGGTGCTCGGGGAAGGGAGCTGCGGCCCCGACAGCAGCACAGAGGCGATGCTCGACTTCCCCGGAGGGCAGTGGGGCTCTCGGGGGTGCCCGCGGGTACCTCTCACTCCATCACTGTCTCCTGGCTCTGCGCAGGTTCCTCTGACACCAAGGCGGAGGGGCTGGAGGGGCAGATCAACAGGCTGGCCGAGCTGATCGGCAGGCTGGAGGACAAGGTAAGGGCCAGCATTTCCGTGTGTGGGGCTGATCCTTGGGTCTCCCTGCAGCCCCACCACCTCCCTGCCCTGGTTGGGACAGAGGTGACCAAGAGGTGGCCCTGCCCATCCCTGTGCCGTGGTGTGCACGGGCCGTGGGTGGGAGCCAGGTTTCTGGTGGTGGTGGTGTTGGAGGCTATTACATCTGATGAGCTGATGGCAGCTATTGAATGTGGAACGATTAGAGGTGGCCCTGCCCATCCCTGTGATGGCAGCTATTGAATGTGGAACGATTAACTGTGAAATTATTTAAACAAGAAAAAAAACATAAGGAAGAAGGCAATGTCTCTTGCAGAGGCAGTCTTACTCCATCTAGGGACTGAAGGAAAAAATGTTGCAGTGCAGGAGATGTTTCTGAAATCCTCCTGGTTTGCACTTTCAGGGCAGAAGGGAACAGGGGAAAGGTAGTGCTGTACGCAGGGGCAGAGGGGTGCCGTCAAGGTTGAGGGCAGAAAAATGTCAATCACGGTTGCCAGAGGAAATAAGTGTGCCTGGGGCTGGGAAGGCGCGGGTGGGCACTGAGGAGGGATGGGTGCCCTTGCTCCTGCTGCCCCAGGGACAATTCAGGGACTGTGAAAAGGTGACAGCTGTTTTGGGGCTGATGCGAGGACATAGTGTCAGGGATGTCGGCTGCGCTGGGAGCACCAGGACCTTTTGCAGAGGGTCCTGATGGGAGGGTGCGAAGGTGCAAACGGCTCTCGGAGCCGTCCCCTGTGGAGTAGGGGGCACAGCCCATCATGCGAAGCACTGGGGACAGAAACCCACCAGCCTGGGAGGGTCACGCAGCCTCAGCCCACCCCCCCAACTGCTTTTCCCCCTTTTCCCAGACTCTCTGGTTTGACCTGCACCAGCGGCTGTCGGACAGCGAGAGCACGGCTTGCACGGTGAGAGTACCCGGGCACCACCCATGGGGTGCTGGGGTGTCCCTGCAGTGTGGCATTGGACCGGGGGGGGTGGGGGGGGATGGGG